TATTATATTATATTATATTATATTATATTATATTATATTATATTATAGTATATTATATTATATTATATTATATTATATTGCTACATAAATCAAAGGAATTTATGCAACAATATTTTATTAACTTTTTCTACTTACACAGTTATTCCAGAAGAAATATGATTTTCATACAGGAAGTACCTTCGGGCTGCAGCAGAATGCTTGCTCTCGCAAATAACTTTAGATTTCAATATATGTAATATAAAACTGACCAAAGTGTGGAGGTTTATAAAGTAGTATTAAGATACAACATAAACCCTCCACTAGGGAGCACAAGCCAGTGTATCGCTGGTTTTGGTACCAAGCCCGGATAAAAGGTGAGGGTTGTGTCAGGAAGGGCATCCGGTACAAAACACTTTTGCCATAACTAATTTGCAAATTCATCTAAAAGACACCATTCTGGATCAGATGAGGCCCGGGTTAACAACGCCCGCCACCGGTGCTGTTGACCACGAGGAGGGAAATGTGTCAGGATACAGAGGGAGAAGAGGAAAGTGAAGAATGTAGGACTGAGGGTGGCAACTCTAAATGTGGAGACAATGACAGGTAAAGGTGGAGAGCTGGCTGACATGATGCAGAGAAGGAAGGTATATGTTTTATGTGTCTGAGACCAAGTGGAAGGGCAGCAAGGCTCGCAACATTGGAGCAGGGTTCAAATGGTTTTACCGTGGTGTGGATAGAAAGAGGAATGGAGTAGGGGTGGGCCTGAAGGAAGAGTTGGCAAAGAATGTAGTAGAGGTGAAGACAGTGTCAGATAGGGTGATGTGCCTGAAGGTAGAAGTAGAAGGTCTGATGCTACATGTTGTCAGTGGTTATGCTCCACAGGTTGGATGTGATGAGGAGGATAAAATTCAAATTTGGAAGGATCTGGATGAAGTGATAGAGAGTATTTCCAGGGAGGAGAGACTAGTTATCGGAGCAGACCTGAACGGACATGTTGGTGGAGGAAAGGGACGAGGATGTGCTGGGTAGGTTTAGTGTCAATGAAAGAAACCAGGAAGGACAGATGGTGGTGGATTTTGCCAAGAGAATGGAAATGGCTGCAGTCAACACACATTTCCAAAAGAGGGAGGAACATAAAGTGACCTATAAGAGTGGAGGAAGGAGTATGCAGGTCGACTACATTCTGTGTAGAAGAAGAAACCTGAGGGAGATTGGAGACTGTAAGGTTGTGGCAGGAGAAAGCGTGACCAGACAGCATCGGACGGTTGTGTGTAGAATGACTGTTGTTGTGAACAAGAGAAAAAGAGTAAAATCAGATGGTGGAAGCTGAAGAAGGAAGAATATGAGAAATTCAGAGAGGAGCTGTTAAAGGCTCTGGGTAGTAAGAAAGAGCTAGACTGGGCTACTACAGCAACAGTAATTATAGAGACAGGTAGGAAGGTACTTGGTGTGTCATCTGGACAGAGAATAGATGATAAAGAAACCTGGTGGTGGAATAATGAAGTGCAGGACGCCGTTCAAAGAAAGAGGTTAGCCAAGAAGAAATATGACAGTGACAGGACTGAAGAGAGGAGACAGGAATATAAGGAGTTGGGACATAGAGTAAAGAGGGAAGTAGCTAAGGCAAAGCAGAGGGCGTATGATGAGTTTTATGAGAGTCTGGACACTAAAGAGGGCGAGAAGGACTTGTACAGATTGGTGAGACAGCGGGATGAAGCAGGTTAGGCTTGTTAAAGATAGGAATGGTAATGTTCTATCAAGTGAGGAGAGTGTGACAGGAAGATGGAAGGAGTACTTTGGTGAGAAAATGAATGAAGAGAATGAAAGTGAAAGAAGAGTAGAGGTCATAGAAGTTATGGGCCAGGAAGTGGGAAAGATTAGTGAGGGTGAAGTTCAGAAAGCTCAGAAAAGAACGAAGAAGGGGAAGGCAGATCCAATGACATACAAGTGGAGATTTGGAAATGTCTTGGAGAGATGGCAGTGAGGTTGTTGACTCAAATATTCAATGGCATATCTGAGGGTGAGAAAATGCCTGAGGAATAGAGGATAAGTGTGCTGGTGCCCATTTTTCAGAGGGAACTCCATTGTGTCTTTGTGGATTTAGAAAAATCATGTGACAGGGTGCCGAGGGAGGAGGTGTGGTATTGCATGAGGAAATCTGGAGTGACAGATAAGTATGGTAGACTGGTACAGGACAGTGAGGCTACAAGGAGCAGAGGTCACAAAGGTGCGAGACTTCAAGTAGTTGGGGTTCACTGTCCAGGGAAATTGGGAGTGTGAAAAAGAGTCAAGGCAGGATGGAGTGGATGGAGAAAACTTTTAGGAGTAATTTGTGACAAAGGTGTGTCAGCAAAGGTCAAAGGAAAAGTTTACAAGACAGTTGTGAGACCAGCTATATAGTATGGTCTGGAGAC